ATGGTGAATATACAGGTATTCCAAATGGAAAACAATCAATTGCTTTGTATTTGTAAAGTCTAGTTTCAAAAATTAACAATTTTGTTCAGAGAAAATTTAATTTTCTCTAGTTTGAACCCAGAGTAATTCTTTATAGATAATGAGACAAATTTCTCTAGGAATTTCTCTGGTTTGGACAAAATTTCTCTAGAACCAGAATTTCTCTAGTTTGGACATAATTTATTTGGGACTAGAATTTCTCTAGTTTGAGCCATAATATCTATGATTGTATACACTTTAGAACCATACAAAGCCTACAAACATATGACTCTTGTACTTAGCTTATAGAAACCATATATTGTAATTTCTCTGTGATCATATTCTGCTATTGATTCTTCTTACCATAATATGTATGGGAACTCACTGAAAAAGGTAATTTGTTCTTAATATCGTCACCGTCTCTTTTTATCGAAAATTCTTGTTATGATTTTTAACAAATTAAGATAATTGCAGGCTATAAAGAGTGAAACTTCAGGGAAATTTGAGCTTGCCCTTTTGACAATTCTACAGTGTACACATAATCCTGCAAAGTGCTTCGCAAAGGTATTTATCCAATCTTAAGTTTTTCTTTTCTTATTAATGTAATTAGGACTTCTTAGGATGCATATATATATATATATATATATGGTTGTATGTAATAGTTTTAGGGACTAGACTATCATTTGAGTCCTGAACAACTAGTTTTTGGGATATTGACTTGGGATTGTGACTTCTCAATTTCTTTGTTCTTCAACAGGTTAAAAGGATGTTTTTTTGGGGGATAAATTAGGTATTTTTAAAAAGAATTGATGAAAATTTTGATTCTCGCTATATCAAATCAAACAAAGCTTTGATCTATATTATTGAATAAATTTGATGAAAAACGAAGGGTAAAAGGCTGCAAATGCTCAAATAACTTTCTATATACGAACATTTATGTATACAGAATGAGATCGATAGTGAATCTGGTTTGAACTTACCACGTTCAAAGATACACAAAAGCGATTAGGGATTTGAGATTCTCGGGTGCCATGAGGAGGCGCGACGCAAGCCCATATATAGCTAGCGAGCGGGATGATGTTCTACCACTTGCTACAGTGAAGATGATGACGACTTCTTTCTTGTCTGTTTCTTTGTTTTAGGCCATGTCTGGTCCGGCATCTCCAACAAAACATGATAATTTTTACTATTTTTTACTTACATTCGCTTTTATAAACAAAAGTTCTAAAAGAAATTTAAGAATGTAATTTTTACATTTGTTTTTACAATGATTATTAAAAGAGAAAATTAGTTTAAGTTCCCTCTCTCATTTTTAGTAATGAAAGAGATTCACAATATTATTTTATAATGTCTAACCCTCAACCCCATACACATATATCATAGAGAAATTTGACTCTATCAAATCAACTCACCGATCTCGATCTCACGGTCATCATGTTGCTAACTCCGGCGAATCGAGGACGGAAAAATGGAATCACAGCAGATCGAGAGCACCAAAACGAAGGCTCGGTGTCGCTGAGGTTCGCCATTGCTGTAAAGCTCTCTCTCCAAGCTGTTTTCCAGGTTTATAATCCTTAAAATCAGGAATCTCCATATCTGACTTGTCAGTGCTATTTCTTTGAGCACAGAGCTTCTCAGTATAATCAATAGGTAAGGAAACCCGCATCTTCCTTTTCACTTCCTCTTTATTTGCTACAGTAACATATTGATCAATTACTTCATATTTCCTAGTAACAGGAGGAACAAGGCTTGTTTTGGTCATTCGAGCACCCCATTTACGTTCATCAGTCAGAGAATCAAACCCATTATCTGCAATTAAGTATCTCTCCCCTCTTGACCCCCTTAATCCATTTTCTGGTTGGAAATTGGAGTCACTTACTAAGTTCGAGGCACTCTCACTCTCTGGGCCACTGTAATGGTGAATATACAGGTATTCCAAATGGAAAACAATCAATTGCTTTGTATTTGTAAAGTCTAGTTTCAAAAATTAACAATTTTGTTCAGAGAAAATTTAATTTTCTCTGGTTTGAACCCAGAGTAATTCTCTGCACATAATGAGGCGATTTTCTCTGGTTTGGAGAGAATATTTCTAGTTTGGAGAGAATTTCTTTGGGAAGTCAATTTGGATCGAATTTTTTCTGCATCGATTTGAGGGACCTTAGACATTATGAAAATATTGAATATTCTTTATGTTATAAAATCTTAATACTAGGAATCCTAAAAAATCTCATTTTTTTTATTATTGTCAATTACCATCTTTAATCAAACAGAAGTTAATGATATAAAACTTAAATTTCATTTAAAATTTTATTTTATCCTCTAAAACTATCCCAAAATTTTAATTAAATCCTTAAATAAAATAAAATATAGTAGTCTAATTGATATTTTAAATATAGTTTAGGGGTAAAATAATAATTCAAACGAAATAATAAGACTTTTATAACACCATGATTTGTAATTAACTAAAATTTACATATCTAAGGGAGAGCAAAAGAAAAAAAAAATAATAATAATTGACAATTAAAAAACATATTACTTATTTTGCAAATTTAATCATCACAATTAAGGAACAAATTAAAATGTTTCTTCAACTGTGGCTGCGGCGAACCGAGCCCACGTCTTTGCGGCCACAACACGGAGTTCTTACCACTAAAGTGCAGCCACATTGCTACCTGGGGCTTACAAATTTTTGTTTATCAATCTATATACTTTGTTTTTGTTAATTTTGCTAGGCTGCAAATGAACAAATTGAACATACACACCCAACATTTGATCCGATTAATAACATTCCAACCAACATCACTTGACGACACCTTTAGGGTTCGAACTAATGGAGCACCGACAAACACTTTTATTTAACTTAATTTTCCTATTAACATTAATATAACGTAACTTGAAATTTCCTAAAACTTCTTGATTTTTACCATATCAACTTTTTAAATAAACCACTTTTGGTACCCCTAGCCTGTCTTTGAACCTTAAATTTGAAAAAATGTTGAGGATAAAGAAAAGAAAAAGAAATGTGAATGTAAATATTAGATAAATTTCATTCACATTCCCTTTCCTTATATTTTCTCAAGAACCAAACACAATCTCAGGCTACACCCCATAAGAAATGGGCTCAGGTTCGAGTCTCCTGTTGCGTGAAAACAATATCAGGGCAATGGAAGTTGATTGATTGATAGCATTTCATGTATACTGATGAGAGCCGCCGAGTTTTATTTAAGTTATAAATATACGAGTGTGGAAGAATTTGAATTGGAGCAAAAACTTTGGGCTGATTATTTTGTAAATTATACATCAAGTAATAAGAATGCATTTGAGTGGCTTTGGAGAACAAAACATCTACAACCCACCAGCTCCAAGAGCATCCATCGGCGTCAGGCATTTCTGTCTTTACCAGCTAAACTGCAATTCAATCCGTTACACAAAAGAAAAGAGAATCAGAGACAAGCAAGTACTAATAATGAACCAAAAAACAGAGCGAAAAATCTTATATGGTCATAGAAGCTTACCAACTTCTTCTTCTTCTTCTTCTCTCTCTCTCTCTCTCTCTCTCTCTCTCTTTTTCTTTTTCTTTTTCTTTTTCTTTTTCTTTTTTGTGTGTGTGTGTGTATGTTGAAATTGTGTGGAAGCCTTTATTAAATTGAATATTTTCAAATATCTATATTAAATATTATATTATATTATCTATGGTAATATAAAAAGCAAAGGCCTAAATTGGTGTAGATAATTTTTTTTTTCTTCTCAACAAGTCCCAAAACATGATAACTGTTATAAATTATTTTAAAGCTCTCCAATAATTTTAAATAACTATTATAATTATCATATCTAATTACAAATTGCACACAGATAATATGTGTGCCTACTAATATTATATAAAGTTAATTCTTGAGTTGATATCAAAGTCACACTTTTTAAGATTTTTCAAACTACCCTAACAAGTTTTTCTATTTATTATTATCATTATTATTATTATTATTATTTTTCAATCTTGTTCTATTAAAGAAAATAGGGAAAATTGGTCTAAAATCCCTGCCAAACTTTTGGTAGGAGAAGAGGTCTATAATAATAGTTTTTAATGCCTAAGGTCCCTCAACCTTATTTTAGGTTGTAAAATACCTAATCTACCATTCTTTATAACATACGTTGTTTTGAATTTTGGCAAAATGAAGATTTTATTACTGTTTTGTAGGAGATTTCGTGGAAATTGACTTGACGATGGAGATCTTATAGGAGATTTCGTAGAGATTTTGTAGGTGTTGCAGTGGATTTGACGATGGAGATTTTGTAGGAGATTGTTGCGATCATGTAGGTGTTGTAGTGGTGTTGATTATTTTTTTTTGATTTCCAGTAGAGTTGAATCAAGTATGTTTTGATGGAGATTTCATATGGATTTTGATTTTTGATTTGATTTGTATGTAATGATTTCGATTTCATATTATTTTTTCAAGTGTATTTCAAATTAGAATTTTGTTTTTAGTTTTGATGAATTTGAGGAAGAGGCCAACTGAATGAAGTTGTTTTTGATTTTTGGCGTTCATTTTCATTCTCTGTTATTGATCAACTTTAGAGAGAGGGCAGCTCGATGGAGTTGATTTTGATTTTTGGAGTTCATTTTCATTCTCCGTTTTTTGATCAATTTCAGAGAGAATCCAGCTCAGTGGAGTTGATTTAGATTTTTGGAGTTCATTTTCGTTCTCTGTTTTTCATCAACATGCTTATCAATGTAAAATTTTGTTCTTTGTTTTTTTCATCAACATGCTTATCATGCTCATCATTTTTTATTTTCTAAATTTTGTTCTTTGTTTTTTCTGCACTTTTTTTTTTTTTTTTGTAGTCTAGAGAAAATTATAAGTTTGTTTTTATAATCTAACGAAAATCACAGAGAAAATTATAATTTCATATGGATATGTTATTATAAGTTTCTAATTTGGATAAAATCACAAAGAAAATTGTAAGTTTGTAGTCCAGTGAAAATCACAGAGGAAATTATAATTTCTTATGAACATGCTATTATAAGTTTGTTATTTTTTATTTTTTATTTTCTCAATTGAATGTTTTGTGAGCATAAAAGATCTTCTTTATGATTTTCTTTGTGTTTGTGTGGAATAATTAGCATTTTTGTCAAAGGCATTCTTAGATTGTTTCCAATCTTGCACTGTCTCGTTCTTAGAGGAATCTACAGTAATCTCTTCTCCGGATACCACATGGCCTAGGAATTTCACCTCTTTTAACCAAAACTTACACTTCTCAAACTTAGCATACAACTTGTGGGCTCTAAGTAACTCAAGCACAACTTGCAAGTGTTCCTCGTGTTCCTCCTTAGAGGGTGATTAAATCAAAATGCCATCAATGAAGACAACCACAAAACGGTCAAGGAACTCACGAAAGATCTGATTCATCAAATCCATAAACAAGGTCGGTGCGTTGGTTAACCCAAAAGGCAAAACTAAGAACTCATAATGGCTATACCGTGTATAGAATGCCATCTTCTAGACGTCCTCCTCCTTCACTCTCAATTGGTGATAACCCGATCTCAGGTCTATCTTAGAAAAACAACAAGATCCCTTCAACTGGTCAAACAAATCATCTATATGAGGCATTGGGTACTTGTTCTTAACAGTTACCCGGTTCAATTTTCGATAATCAATACAAAGTCGCAATGTACAATCCTTCTTCATAGCAAAGAGAGTCGGTGCTCCCTAAGGCGATGTACTAGGGTGGATAAAACTCTTATCTAACAATTCTTGGAGTTGAACCTTCAACTCACTCAACTCAGCGGGTGCAAATCTATACAGTGCCATGTGTAGACACCCAATTTTTGCCCGCCCTTAAGACTTGGGAACCACCGATTGATCACCCAATTTACACGCTTGTCGAAATGCTCGATGTCCTCAGCATGAAACCTCAATTTTGAGCCTCAAAAACCTACATACCTTGTGCCTTGTTTTTGGACCAAAACAGTAGTTTTTCAAGCCTGACCATCCAGAGACTTGCAGACCCACTAGTGGCTTGCCGGTCACTTGTGTAAAAAGTCAGATCTTTTTGCCAGCTGTGCCAGTTGTCTCCACAGATACATACACTGCACCAGCTGTGTCTGTATGGATATTTCGAGATAGTCTCATATATTTCTATACATAGATGACTCCCTCTCATATTTTAAGGTTAGAAAAATTTTGGAGAGCAAAGTTTTGGAAAATATTTCTCTCTATACATTTTTGTCTCTCTAAACTAAACTTTGAGGGTCTTTTGCTGAGGTTATTGAGCTTGCATTTTAGCTCTTAAGGGTGTGAAATTACTGGTTTGTGAACAAAAGGATCATTCCTCTTCAAGAGGTATACATCCTAGCTCTTTTGCACTACTTCTTTCCCATCTTTCCTTACTATTTTTGGACTTTCTTTGACCTATTTTTGTGGGCTGAAACTTGTGGTGTAAGGCATTAAGGGTAGAGGAGTGAATCACCCCTCTTTGACCCTTGTCTTATAGGCTTTTGCCCTTGTGTTTTCCACATTTTTATTAACGCTTTTTGAGCTATTTACCACTAATTTTCAAAGGTTTTTCAAAGGCTAAAATGTGATTTTGAAGTCCCAAAAATGGAGGGGTTAGCCTCCCGTCCTTTGGCTTGTTTACTAGCTTAATTGCACCATTATTTTAGCTTGCTTTTATAGATGTTTTTACCTTAATTTCAGTGCTATTTTAGCCTATTTTAAGACTATTTTAAGTTGTTCATGTTTTTTATACTTTGTATTGCATGCTTGTAATGTAACGGTCCTCATAGGTTTGGTGTTCTAGGTATTAGACACCAACCTATTTGAGTTGACAACATTTATTTCAAGCTTTCCATGCTTGTGTTCAGCCCTAATAATCTCTATGCTTCGCTCATTTCTTGGCTTTTTCCTTGCTTTGAGAATCATTCCAAATCAATTGTTTGTTTAAGCATGAGATAGAGATCGTTGTGCTCAATGGTTTAATCTCTGCGGAGGTTTATTACCAACGGCATGACATCTCTCTCATGCCCAAAAGAACCCTTTGTTTGACACTTCCCTCCTTTAATGGACTTAATGCTCATTTTGGACTAAAATGACTAATGAATGGAAATGTAATTAAAAGAGGTAATCAATGGCTTAAAATGGAGCAAGATAATAAAATGGTTTGGGTTCAATCAGACGTCAATTGAACCCATTGAGTCTTGAGTCATTTCATACTTGCTAGTAATGAAAACGATTCAAGAATCAACATCAACCACCTCCCTTGATCAACATCGTGATAGAGAGGAGGTTCATGAGTCTTTAATTGTGCATTTATTGAAATTGTATCCCTTAGGTCCTAAGCCATCACGCAATGAATTTGTGCTGATTGATGGCTTGCGAATCAAGCTTGCCCTATTTTTTGAGTTGTTTGATGATAAGGAGAGGCAGGGTGGACAAGTATCTCCTGAGAATGCTCTATTTGTGCTCTGTTTGTTTTCTGTTGCAGCAGGAGAAACCCAACATTAGTGGCCAGCAGCCCACCTTTACCGTACGACAGGCCACGATTAGTGGGTGTAGACGTTGCCGAACGTCCCGGGAGGGAATCCCGTTTTGTTCATTTGGGCTTGCTACAGTTCGGACTCTCAAATTGTCACGGTTCTTAATCTGATCTCACAATGTGCAATGTGAGATTGATAAATCACCAAAGAGTCCAAATCCGGCAAATCGTTTTGAAAAATAGATTTTTAGAAAGAAGTGCCAAACATGGACTGTTTTGCTAGATATAGAGTCGCCACCTAAATATTTTATTTTTGGAAATTTAGGAAACCCTGACTCGTTGCCTAAGGCCACATGTCCGTCATCACCAAAGTTACCTCGGTTCGGGAACTTGGGTACGATTGGGGAAGGTCAACTATGAGCACCCCCGCTCGCCCGATCAAAGATCGGCCACTACTAAACATGATATTTTGTTTTTGAAAACACATACGTTCTTATTCCGATTAATTAGCTAGAATTACTATGTGATGCGCGTAGCAAAACAAGTATAGACTAGATCGCCTAATTTGGAAAAAAGCATCGCATATCCGTTTGTTTGGAAAATGATTTGAAGTTTGCTACTCGTAAGTAGGCTAAAACACGAATTTCAATGAATTATCCCAATTCAAGCAATCCAACCTTCACCCACAAGCATTCAGACAGTTATATCACCTAAGCAATTAGCCTCATGGAAAGCATGCTGTCATGTTAACATTCACACTCATGCGAGATGCTAAAACATAAACACTTACAGTGTACTCCGAGCCAAAACAAGAAACTAGTTAGTAATCATGCATGATCCTAATTCATGTTAAGATGGCTAATGTAACGCATGCAAAATACAACTAAGATAGGCTCAGCTATCCTAAGAATGGCATATGAGGTGTGACAATCCCATACATGTATTTAACTTGGAATTGAAATACAATGCAGTTAGCATGATGAGCCGAGCCCGGTGCATGCAATACAGATGAATGATGCAAACATGCTATCATAAGTATGCTAATTGAAACGTGCCCTAAAACTAACCATTGAAA